TATTTGCTATCATCATGTTTTGGGCTGAATGCCATATTTGGGCCTCGTGCCAACTATCTGAACCCTTAGGGGATTTTATTGATATTTCCTCACTATTTTGACTTTATAATTGAACTCAGTCATGCTATATTCTACTGTTTTTCATAACTCAGCAGTGTTTACTCTTCTTTAACACTTAAATGATGTATTAAATGATATTTTGGGCTGAGCATTATGTTTTACTGACTGGGTAAGGCCGAGGGCCTATTTTGTGAGGAAATACTGATTATGACGTCAAGGGCATGAGATTTATATGTCACGAGATGGCTTGTTGATATGAGGCCGAGGGCCTATTTTGTGAGGAAATACTGATTATGAGGTCGAGGGCATGAGATTTATATGTCACGAGATGGCTTGTTGATATGAGGCCGAGAGCCTAGTGATGATGTCACGAGATGACTTGATATTGCGCTTGGGCCATAAGGGGCCCCTCCAGGAGTTTGCATACCCCCAGTGAGCGTGGGTACCTATTGTGATGTGAGATATAGCCCGAGGGGCTGGTATTGTTAATATTGTGCCCGAGGGGCAATCCTTTATGTGCTTATCTATCTTATTTGTCTATCATTTACCTGCTTAATTGTTAAAAAGGCATTTCATGAAGTTTGAACTAAATTAAAAATGACTTTACACATTATCACTACTTCACTACTTTAACTGGTTTTACTAACTCATTATAGCCTGTAATGTACCTTACGTGTTTTCATATCTCTCAATCGTTTATTTATGATTATTACTGTTTGTTTATATGAGTCCACCAAACTGTATAGAGAACCAGGTTCTCTATGTGTTTTCTCTGAAAATACTGATGAACCAAATTGTATAGGGATCTGGTCCTATATCAGTTTGGTATAGTGCTAAGTTTGTGCGAGTCCACCAAATAGCAGAGTACCTGGTCCTTTGTGAGGTTCTGCTGTGAATGCTAGTAAAGCTGAATATAAATAAGGCAGATGATTTTTACGTTGAAAAATTCCACACAAGGGGATCAAAAAACCACGACCTACACCTGTAGGCTTTTAACTTCACTAACTTGTAATCTCCCTATTACAAGCCACTTTACAATAACCCTATTGAAAAGACTTCAACTAACTTGTGATGCTCTCATCACAAGACACTCTATAACTATCCTAGTTACAAAGAATTTGACTAACTTGTGGTATTTCTACCACAACCCATTTTGTCACGCTACGGTTACAAAGGCTTTGACTAACTTGTGATATTTCCACCACAAGCCACTTTGTCACACTACTGTTACAAAAGCTTTTGCTTATGACTAATCCTAGCCACAACATAAACTCAGGGAGTTTACATATTTACAAGTTTCCTAATCAACTCTTCTAAGAAAGCTGGATAGGATTTACAATGAAGAACACATAACAAAGACTCAACAATCATAAGGACTTAAGATATCATCAATCTTGGATCAGGTCCTTGAGGTTGCAACAACTTTGTTCTTGAGAGAGGTTCTTGAGCACTTGAGAGAATTTTCATTTTCTGTATTTTCAAGTGTTGGAACCTGAAACTTGTGCCATGCATAAGGTTTATACTACACAAGACATCCTTAGTGATGTCCAATCTTAATGGGAAGTGATTGTTGCACTGTCTGCTGCATTGTTGTAGGCAGTCACTTTCTGCAATTTCTTTCCAATTGTAGTTGAATTGTACTTCTGTTAGAGAACCCTAAGGGACCAGGTCCCTATTGTTTTCCTCTTTGTAAAGTTGCAATCAGTCACTCAGTTGTGTTCCAACTGTATAGTTGACTTGGACTTCTGTCAGAGAAGTACCAAGGGATCAGGTTCCTGATCTGGTTCTTGTGCACACCGCCCACATTGTCTTGAGTTGAGTAACTTGAATGATGCTTTGTATAGACTCATTGTAGGTACACCTTGATCACATCACTTGAAGTGATGTGAGCACTTTAGTTGGTCAGAGAATGAGTGGGCGCTGGAAGTAGTGCAGTGCGGTAGAATCTTCGTTTCTAGTGGTGTCCAATTGACTTTGTACTGCCGTGAGGAACCCACAAGAGTATCAGGTCTTGTTTGGGTTCCTACCTCCTGAAGCTGTAGCAAGTTCACATTTGGCTGGAATCCGTTAAATGCAGTGTAATCCAAGCGAGTCAGGTTCCCTATCTGGTTCTTGATATTAAGTTTGTTAGATCATCAAAACACAAGGCAAAGATATTGAAAACCTATCAATCCTATTAATCTCCCCCTTTTTGATGATGAAAAACTTAGCATTGAAAACAAGGAGTTAGAGTTCAGAGAACCAGATTGAATAACAGGAGACCACATGTTCCCCCTGACTTTATGCCCTTACTCACACATATTTACCCATATGTTCCCCCTGACATTTTACTATCATTCTTGATATTTTATCTAGTTCTATACAGAAAGTTTGTTAGATCATCAAAACATAGATTAAATGACCTTAAGCCCATCAATTTCTCCCTTTTTGATGATGATAAACTTTGAACATTGATAACTATTTGACTTAACCAGATAAGGTACTAGCAATTTCATATATTCTCCCTGACTCTATTCTTACCCCTTTTGGCATCAACAAAAAGACACAGTCAGACAAAAAGGCATAAAGAAATTCAACAAATCTAACTCATGCCACATATGTGCACACAATCATGATAGAAAAGAGAAGAAAAAGGGAAAACAAGAATTGTACAAGCAAAAGAAGAGATGTTTTATTGACAAGAAATTTAACTGTTTCAACAGGAGCAGCAACGGTGAAACCCAACATGCCATCACAAAAATACAAACAAAAATAAAAACAGCAGCCACAAACTCGTCACAGCAAAATATAACTGGCTACTAAGAGGATCCTAGGGGGCACTAGAAGAGGGAGGCAATAAAAGATAAATAGTTTTGAGAGCTAGGTCCATGCGGGCAGTTGCAGACAACTGTTAGTCAAGAAGTTTCTCCCACAGGTTCTTCACTAGTTGCCTAAGTTCAGAACTTGTCTCATACCTGCCATCTCCTCGATTGTCGGGCAACCGTGCAACCCCACAAGACTTTTCTGGGTGCTCAGACTCTCTTGCCCAAGGCCACCGTCACTTGGAATGGTCTTTATTGAACCAGGTCCTCCCATAGTTTCCCACTTTTGTTTTCTAGACATTTCAACAAACTTCCCGTTCTTGCTTGCAACAGCCACAATGGCACTTTTCAAAACAAATCTTTCTCAACCATAAACTTTTGTAAATATTTTTACTAAGGAACTAGGTTCCTCCACAACATATTTATCAACCTCAAAGATTCGAAATGTGTTTATCAACCACAGCCTCCCCCTATTTCATCAACCTCTTCTTCCTTTTCTTAATACTCTACTTACTCTTCTGCAAGGCAGACTCAAAAGCCTCTTTCTTCCACAACCACCTAGTTTGTTTCAGCTAAAAGAGAATCACGTTCTTCAACTGGTTCTTCTATGATGGTGTCATGAATCGGAGACTCAAAAAGCACCATAAAGTCCTTTTATCCCCTAAGAATGGTATTTCTTCCCATGAGATTCAGGAACAGAGGAGAATTAAAGTTTGTAACACATGGAAGTGAGACAGGGTTTGATGGATGAGTAGAAATGACTGGAGATGAGGAGGAAACAGGTACGGGTACAGTAGTATCAGGGATGGTGAAGAAGTGGGTTTCTGGTGATGGTGTTAAGGGAGGAGGAGACGTTGGAGTCATGTTGATGGTAAGAGAAAACGACGATTATTCGTTGTCCATGGTCGGAGAAGTGGTAGAGAGTCCTGAAGGAAAAATTAAACTGATGCAGAGGGAGATAATGGTTTAGAACTGCTGGTCTGAAAAGTCGGATGATGTGGCAGTTGAATTAATTTTTCTATCCTTTTTCTTTGAGCAAGCATGCGAAAAACATATTACTACTACCCTGTGGTTCAGGAACCAGGTTTTTGACTTGTTTTTTTGTAAAAGGGTTTTTGCAGCTCTCCTCCGAAGTTCAACACTGTACCTTTAGCTTCTATGATCATCATGCGTATTTACCTGTAATGTTATAGATGTGAGTTAGGCCTAGTCAGAAAACACTTTAGCCAATTTTACCTTAGTCTGACTATCATAGTCATGTTAGCAGAACCAGGTTCTCAATTAGGTTTAAGTAATCCTAGTGCCATCTGGTTTCTCAAAGTGTTCCCTACTCAGAGCTTTGGTGAAGATATCTGCATTTTGATACTCTTGTGCAATAAAATCTTATACAAATAAGACTCTTTTCCATACTGTCGCTTGATCCCCAGTGAATGAGCACATCACATGGCAGCTGCAACATATTCTACTTCAGTTGTTGAGAGAGCTACTGAGTTTTGTTTCCTTGTACCCCATGAGATAAAACATGATCAAAGGAAATGAGCCATTCCAGATGTACTTTTCCTGTCCACCAGCTAGCCTACATAATCAGCATCAGCATAACCAGTAAGGTTGAAATTGTCACCTGAAGGATAGTACAGAACCAGGTTCTGTGTGCCCTTAAAATATCTCAGAATTCTCTTAGCAGCCTTCAGATAAGATTCCTTAGAATTTGATTGGAACCTTGCACATAATTTCACACCAAATATAATGTCTGGCCTGCTGGCAGTAAGGTAGAGTAGAGATCCAATGATTCCCATGCTTCCATGTCAAACCTTTTCAAGCGTTCTTTGATGTATTCTGATTGATACATGTTCCCTTTATGGACTGCTTCACTTGAAGACCCAGGAAGATATTCAGTTCCCCCATCGCACTCATTTTAAACTCACTTCCTATGAGTTTGCAAATTCTTCACATAATGAGTTAGTTGTAGCTCCAAATATGATGTCATCCACATAAATCTGATCAATGAGCAGGTTCCTTCGTTGTTTCTTAAAAACAACGTATTGTCAATCTTTCCTCTTGTGAAGCCATTTTTCCACGAGAAACTTGGATAATCTCTCGTACCAGGCTCTAAGGGCCTGCTTCAATTTGTACAGTGCCTTATCCAATTTTGAATACATGTTCAGGATGTACATGACGTTCAAAATCCTGGAGGTAGCTTGATATACACTTCTTCTTTGAGAAAACCATTTGGAAGGCACTCTTCACATCCATTTGGAATAAGGTGAATTCCATTTGTGAATCAAAGGCAATGTGGATCCTAATAGATTCCATGTGAGCTACTGGTCCAAAAGTCTCATCGTAATCGATCCCTTCCTCTTGATTGAACCCTTTGACAACAAACCTTGCTTTGTTCCTTGTAGCACTTCCATGTTCATCAAGCTCATTCCTGAATACCCACCTGGTCCCTATGATGGTTTTGTCTGAGGGTCTAGGTACCAGGTTCCATACCTTGTTTCTTTCAAGTTGATGCAGTTCCTCTTGCATTTTAGTAATCTAGTCTGCATCCTACAAGGCTTCCTTGATATTTTTGGGTTCTTTTTTTGGGGGATAGAAATGCTGAGAAGGCTAGGGAATTTTTGGTTTTTGATCTTGTCGGAACTCCAGAATCAAGGGGTGATTATATTATCAAGTGAATGAGAGATTTTGTGTTTCCAATTTGGGACTGAATATTGATTGGTAGAGAAACTAGGTAAGTTAAATGGATTTCCCTGCACTCCTTGTTTAGTTACTTAGGGACTGCCTTGCACTGCATCTCCAACTCTTTCTTCTGCTTCAGAGGTAGTAATTGAAGTACCAGGTTCCTCTTGAGAAGTAGAAGAGGATGTTACATTGTCTCTCACATGTCTCCTTCATCTTACTCATCAAATCAACCTTCCCATTTGAAGCTCCAGATATTTCCTAGGGACCAAAAGTAATTCATTATCTTAATCATCACTGTTTCCTTCTTTTTAGAGGAGGATGTCTCGTTGAATAGCACATGAACACTTTCGTCCACACTATGTACCATATTGTTGTAAACTTTATGGGCTTTGCTTTGAGGGTAGTATCCCAGAAGGATTCCTTCATCACTTTTTGCATCAAAATTCCCAAGCTGGTCCTTCCCATTGTTGAGAACACAAAAGCTCAGAATTTTCATCCATAGGTTCTCAGATGAGTCAGCTTAGGTTTCCTTCCAGTTAGCAACTTCTAGGGGGTTTTGTTCAGGAGAGGTCTGATCATGCGCCTCTTTTCACTCCTGCTCAATATTCCCATAGGAATTGCATGCTACGTGTTCTTCGAACTTTGAATTTGACAAACGCTGGACTAGGTCTTTCTTCATCAATATCTCCAGAAGTGAGAAACTTGTATCCCCCAAATCCTTTATACCAAGTCTTCGAATTTTTATCAACTGCATTCAAGCAGCTCATATTACCAGCTTAGACACGAACTTCTACCTTTGCTTTCTTCCCCATACCTAGAATGTACCCCTTTTTTCCATATCCTTGCAGGGCTTTCAATGAGAGAAAATCCATGGTATTTTCAGTCATGTGCTTAGAGCATCTACTATCCATGATCCATTTCAGTCCGCTTCCTCCCACTGTTCCCTGCACATCTAAATTATGTGTTAGATTTAGGAACCTAAACTAGTTTGGGTCCCTTGTTATGATAGAAGGGATGGATAAGGGCTTTTCTAGTCCATGCAGGCAATATTGGTTTCTTGCGAGCGGTACCTGGTCCCCTGTTAGTAGTCACTTTTTCAGCAAACACTTTGTTTTTCTGAACAGATTGAGCCCTGGCCTGGCAATTTTCTTTGAAGTGCCCATTGTTCCCACGGTGGGTACACAGCTAGTTATCAGGAACTATAACGCAGTTGCTGTGAGGGTTGTAAGGAGTTTTCTCCTTTTGAAACCCGATTGCCTACCTGTTTTCACTATTGTTGAAGTACATGGCAGTGACAACATCTGAGGACCAGGTCCACTTGAGAGATTTCTCAAGATCCCTTTTTTACTTTCTTCAATTCAGCTTGAAGCTTCCTATTTTTCTCGACTTCACCACGTATCCTAGTTCTAGTAGCTTTCAACTCTTTTTCAAGCCTAATGTGTTCCTCACTGGCTCTCTCCTTTCCTTTTCCAGAATTTTCAGGTTTTGACTTAATCTCAGGTTTCACTATTGTTTCCCTTAGGTCTGTAATTTTTGCCAAAAGATAATTCTTTTCTTTTCTAAAAATTTCAATGGTTTTCCTATGGTCAGTAACTACAGTAACTAAGTCGTCTCTAGTTTGTTTAGATTTTGCTAATGCTAAGGTCAAAGAATCCCTATCCTCCACAAAACTATGAAAAGCATTGATTAATATATTAGCTAAAGACATGAGTTTTCTTAGAGAATAGGATTTCAGATTTCTCTGAACATCCCTTAAATTTACCTCTTTGTTGTCATCGTCTGATTGAGCCATTAAAGTAAAAGTTGAGTCATATTCAGCTGATCTTTTTCTCTTAAAGTTTTTGGAGAATTCTTGCTTCAAGAGAGAACAATTTTTCATGAAGTTTCCAGCCTCTCCACACTTGTAACAAAGATCATTTTTCTTTGATCTATTAGAATTGTCCCTTTCTAGCACTTCTCCATTTCTTCTGACCATCTTTTGTAACCTTTTGGTTAACTAAGCCATGTAATTGTCTTCCTCACTCGAATAATTGTTATCAACTTTAAGTACCATGTACTTTTCTTTCTTTGGTTCTCTCATTTCAAAAGTTGGTGGAGCAGCCAAGAGGATCCTTCCTAGGTGTTAGCCTGATAGGAGGAACCTACTCTAATACTAATTGTTAGTTTATATGAGTCCACCATACTGTATAAAGAACCGGGTTCTCTATGTGTTTCCTCTGAAAATACTGATGAAATAAACTGTATAGGGATTTGGTCCTATATCAGTTTGGTGTAGTGCTAAGTTTGTATGAGTCCACCAAATAGTAGAGTACCTGGTCCTTTGTGGGGTTCTACTGTGAATGCTAGTAAAGTTGTTGTAAATAAGGCCAAGGATTTTTATGTGGAAAAATCCCACACAAGGGGATCAAAAAACCATGACCTATACTTGTAGGCTTTTAACATCACTAAGTTGCAATCTCCATATTACAAGTCACTTTATAAAAACCCTATTGCACAGACTTCTACTAACTTATGATGCTCCCATCACAAGCCACTCTATAACTATCCTAGTTACAAAGAATTTGACTAACTTGTGGTATTTCCACCACAATCCATTTTGTCACACTACGGTTACAAAGGATTTGACTAACTTGTGATATTTCCACCACAAGCCACTGTGTCACACTACTGTTACAAAGGCTTTTGCTTATGACTAATCCTAGCCACAACATAAACTCAGGGAGTTTACAGATTTACGAGTTTCCTAATCTATGCTTCTAAGAAAGCCGGATAGGAGTTACAATGAAGAACACATAACAAAGACTCAACAATCCTAAGGACTTAAGATATCATCAATCTTAGATCAGGTCCTTGAGGTTCTAGCAGCTTTGGTCTTGATAGAGGTTCTAGCAGCTTTGGTCTTGATAGAGGTTCTTGAGCACTTGAGAGAATATTCGTTTTCTGTATTTGCAAGTGTTGGAACTTGAAACTTGTGCTTGCATAAGGTTTATAATACACAAGACATCCTTAGTGATGTCCAATCTGAATGGGAAGTGACTGTTGCACTGTTGCAGGCAATCACTTTCAGCAATTGCTTTCCAGCTGTAGTTGACTTGTACTTCTGTCAGAGAACCCTAAAGGACCAAGTCCCTGTTGTGTTCCTCTTTGTACAGTTGCGATCAGTCACTCAGTTGCATTCCAACTGTATAGTTGACTTGGAATTCTGTCAGAGAAGTACCAAGGGATCAGGTTCTTGATCTGGTTCTTGTGCACACCGCCCAAATTGTCTTGAGTTGAGTAACTTGAATTATGCTTTGTATAGACTCATTGTAGGTACACCTTGATCACATCACTTGAAGTGATGTGAGCACTTTAGTTGGTCAAAGAAAGAGTGGGCACTGGAAATAGTGTTGTGCGGCAGAATATTCGTTTCCAGCTGTGTCCAATTGACTTTGTACTGCTGTGAGGAACCCACAAGAGTATCAGGTCCTTGTTTGGGTTCCTACCTCCTGAAGCTATAGCAAGTTCACATTTGGCTGGAATCCGTTAAATGTAGTGTAATCCAAATGAGTCAGCTTCCCTATCAGGTTCTTGATATTAAGTTTGTTAGATCATCCAAACACAAGGCAAAGCTATTGAAAACATATCAATCCTATCAATTACTCACTGAGTTGGAGTACTCACTTTACTCTCTGAACCCCGTGTGCTGATTCAGTCGTTGCTGATCTTGCCAGCGCGAGTTGAGAGCTCCCAGCAGACTTCAGAGTCCACGAGGTAGCTGTTTGGCGTCTACAGTCCCGTGTTTCTCCCCATTTATCTCATTTTTATCTCTTTATCAGTTATTCTGTAATAGTTTAGTAGGCATTTCAGACTTGTAGTGTACTGATAGATGCTCATGACTAGTGAGGCCCCGGTATCGAGCTGTGTTGGGTTGTATTTCGCAAATTGTTCTGTGTTGTCACTGCTTACTTTTGGATTTATATCATGTTTAAGACTAAATGCTTATTGTTTAATTGCTTAAAACTAAACTGGAAATATGTTGGATGGCCTTGTCTTCACGAGAGGAGCCATCACGACCGGGTCCGGGTTTGGGGTCGTGACAAGATGGTGTCAAAGCCTAGGTTACATAGGTCTCACGAGTCATGAGCAGGTTTACTAGAGTCTCACGGATATGTACGGAGACATCTGTACTTATCCTCGGGAGGCTGCAGAACCTTTAGGCAAAACTTCACATTTTTGAATTATCATGTGTCCTTGATTCAACTTGAAAAAAAACTCTTTGAATTCCTTCCACGTGTTCGCATGTGCGCATGAGCGCTCAGTATCGGATGTGTATCGTTTTCTTTTGATTCCCTGATGGAGGGGCGAGATGTGATCTCTGTATGTTGATGTTGGGCCAGTCTGGAATACTTGGGGCCGGATTATGTCTATTGCTTGAGCCCTGAGCTGTTGATTGCGCAACCGCATGTTTCTGGATCTATATGTTCTGTTGTGTCCCTATTAAGGGGAGTAATGATTGGATAGCTACGTGATGACTATGTTATGACTGCGATGTGTATCCATATGATTTGGAAACGACGAGATGGGTCTGCTAGAGGATGGAAGAACTATTAGGTACTTGATGTTCATCTTGATTTGAGGTATAGCCCTGAGTTATGGGTGTGAAAAATCTTTTCATGTTTCCTAGTTAGGAATGAAGTAAATTTTATGCTGCGATATGAGTTCAGACTCAGCAAGATTAAGTTACTATGTAATGTTTGTGATGGTAGAAGGTATACAGAAATGTTAGATGGAGGCAAAACAGGTGGGTTATCTCCTGCGGAGTGTTCTAAGGTTGTGTGATCCTTATGTTGTCTGTTAGAATATTTCATTTACAAGTGAAATATATGTGTTGAAATTTAAATTTGGGTCTCTTAAGAGAGTGGGTTTAACTATTGTGGGAGTGAATGCGAGAATTGTAGAAGATATAAAGTCTAGATGGTCTGTGTTTCACGAGCTTATGAAGGATGGCGTTTAATCTCACTATGGTATTATGGCAGTAATAGAGTATATGCATGATGAGTTATTGTGTGTGTTTTGATCTATGGTTTTGAGCCAAGTGGGGGAGTCGGCTATTGATTAGTTGGTTGCACAGTTATGTGCTATGTTGTTTCCAGTTTGAGGCGTACGGGTAAATCAATTATGGCTTATGGAGATTGAGACTGAGTTCGAGTAAAGGAAAAATTTCGACAAAGGTTATGTTATGCTTCATAGGTGTAGGAGAATCACGGAGTGTCTTGAGTGGTTATTAGTGAAGAATGGTCGGTGAATGGGGTAGGAAGTTGCTTGGTTGCATTGAGGTGAGGTTACATTCTGCGGTGTCGGAGTGCAAATGAGGCACAGGTTGTTCGGTTCATTTGATCAGGCTAATTGCAGTTTGAGTAGAGTGGATGATTCTAGAGAATGGTTCTAATGTGTTCAACATTTTACATGCAATGATTGAGGATTTTCAAGTTGTACGTTTGGTTAGAAATTGAGGTTTGCATTTGAAAGGTGTCAAGACTTGTGGTATTTCTATATAAATTAGGGAATTCTATATATATGTCAGTATCAGGAAGGCAAAAGTAATGATGTTGGATTCGCAGGAAGTCTCTACAAAGTAAAGTATTTCAAATATGGTGCTTGGGGATATTTGAGAGAGTAGTCAGCGGCTTATGAGCCTTAGACAGTGTGGTTTTATGCTTGGGTCTAGTATTGTGAGTCGGAGTTGAGGAATTATGGTGTTATAGTAAGAAGAAGTATCAAGTTAAAGGTAAATCAGATGGGACTCGGATAGATTGGATAGCTTGGTAGAAGGCCGGATCGGTATGGAACGGATACGATTAGTTCTTTGAAAGATTACGAGGTAATGAGTTTCTACAGGTGTTTTGCGGCAATGTTCTTTGGTTTTAGCAGCCTGCGTAGTTTGGTTGAGTTAGAGGGATTCAGTCCTGACGGATTTGGTGTTGTGCAAAAGGGAGTCAGATAGTTCTTGATGATTTCTACCACGGTTAGAGAGGTATATTTTCTGCTGGCGTGAGGAGCATGGAATGTATAGTGATTTTCTTCTAGATGGGATCAATGGAAAGTTCTTGGCTAGTTGAGTACATAGTTGCTTATAGCTCGGAGGGGGATACAAAGTTCTCATGGTTATCCTAGGACGGTATGGTTTATGCGGTATGTGGTATAAGTTTGAGATTTGCATGTGTAAGGTCTTGGTTCAGTTCTGAAAGGAAGATCATAAAAATCCTTAGGCAGTGGGCAGCTTCAGATGGTTAAGGAAATGATCTTCAAATGATTAGGGAAATGATATTACTAACTGGTATGGATTGATGAGAGTATGCATTTTTAGAAAAGGGGCAAGTGTTTGAGTTGATGATACTTCAGTAGTATTGCAACACTCTCTTATTGGATCGGCTGTTGATACTTGAGTTTGTGTGGTGGCATAGATGAATTATAAGAGTACCTCTCGTGGAATGATTGAGCCTTAGAAGTGTGGCCTATGTTTGAACGGCGGAATTGGGATCAGATATGGTGATTCATGTGCTATATGGAGTTGGAGACTGGGAGTTCTCATATACAGGTTATGTTGTGGTTTTAGGTCACGTGCATCGACACTGTATAGGGACTATCAGGGTTTGGAGATCTGAATGGATCTTTTGCTGTATGGTATGTTAGATTTTGATGTAATATTGGGTATAGACTGGTTGTCTTCGTGTCGGGTTATGCTGGACTATTGCGTTAAGGCGGTGATGTTGGCTATGCCAGGAATGCCACGGATTGAGTGGAGATGTTCAATGGATTATGTTCCTAGTAGGGTGGTGTCATTTTTGAAGATCCAGCAGATGGCTGGGAAGGATTGCCTTTCTTATTTGGGCTTTCGTGATGGATGTCAGTGCAAAGACTTCTACCATTGATTCAGGTCCGGTGATGACGGACTTTTTGGATGTGTTTCTTATGGTCGGGTATGTTGCTGGG